ACATGACAATGGCATTATACTGTGTGTATATATATATATATATATATTGGATTTGTTCTTGTGTTGAAGACGTGGGGGGTTCTGTCACTCAAACCTTCACATTCACACTTAAAGAATCAATCTGCAAACGCTCAACACAACTGCTTTTGGGTTTCAAATAGAAAAGACCCTCTTGACCTTTTCACAATGCCACAGCACATGGAGACCACACACAGTACGCACAAGCATTCCAAATTACCGATGGTTGTGAAATGCCACGCACTGCACGTAGGTAATGAGGTAGGATCACAGCGGAGGAGGCGGGGAACATCCACAGTGACTGATGATGGCGTCAACTGGATTAGCTTTAATTCTGTTGCAGCAGAGCATAATGTTCAGACAACCTCCTGAGACAAAAGCAAAGGTCACAAAACTGTAGGAACTGATCCAGTGCAGAGATGATTATAAGTTAGACATGAAAACTTTGCTTTGCTTGTTTTTTTTACACTTTTTATTTTATTTTATATTATTAGAGTGATCACACTTTCATCCGTATATTGATCTCTTTGCAGGTACTACGCTATCTGTTGCCAGCCTTTGGTTTACCGGAACAAAATGACGCCAATGCGAGTCGCTTTGATGATTGGTGGCTGCTGGGTCATTCCCACTTTCATCTCCTTCCTTCCCATCATGCAGGGCTGGAACAGCATTGGCATTGACCAGTGGGTGAGTTCTATAGTGTTTGTTTTTTTAGGAAAAAAAAACTGTTTAGAATCTTGGGACGCTTTATTCATAGAAATATAGCTGAGCATATTTTGCATCTCCACACAGGATGCAGATTTATGTTGGTGGAACGTAAGCAAAGTTAAAATGATGATTTGGGGAGCCAAACGCAGTTAAACGCAGAATGGCTGGTTCATGTGGTTTCTATGGTCCAGGTGTAGTTCCTTTGGTCCAGTTGTAGTTTCTATAGAAAGAAAAACGAATAAAAAGCAATGTTAATAAAATCAATATTTGCAAATACAAACATGAAAGGTAGAGTGAGAAAATACAGCAGCCGAGGAAGGAAATATGGTCAGTTTGTCTTAGCACATACTGTAGCAGCATAACTATGGGTAACTCAGGAAACCATAAACAAGCCTATCTATAGGATTTGTCAAAAAGGAAAGTTTTAAGCCTAGTCTTGAAAGTAAACATCCTCATGGACAGTGGAAGAGAACCTGATAAGTCAAAGCTCTGATTCCTGCTCTACTTTTAGAAACTCTAGGAATCACGATTAAACCTGCAGTCTGAGAGCAAAGTTCTCTCTTTGGAACATATAAAACAATCACAATAATATAATATGGAGCTTGGTCGCTGAGAGCTTTGTATGTTAAAGGCAAAATGTTAAACCCTATTCTGAATTTGACATGGAGCCAATAGAGTGAAGCTAAAATGAGAAAAAAATAACTTTCTCAACTCTCATCAGAACTTTAGCAGCCACGTTTTTGGTTAACTGAAAAGGTTTAAGGGAGTTTTTTGGACACCCAAATAATAAAGAATCAGAATAGCATTGTCTAGAATCTGGTCCAATTTGGACAAAATTTTCTGCATCAGTTTGGTAGGAGGTATTTCCAATTTCAGTGACATTATGAAGGTTAAAGACAACATTCCTGTTAGCCTTTAAAACGAGGTTAAACAACATTCTGGTCAAAACTCACTCCATTACATTAATAATCAAGGACAGTGTCATTCAGAGGAAGTGAAAGGTTGCACAGTTTGTTCTTAAAAGGCACAATACAAACACTTGCTACCATCAGAACATGCAAAGTACTTATAAAAATATATACTATGTAAATGCCAACAGTAGAATAAAGATATTATTTAGGGTTCTCCTCATTACTTCAGACTGTTTGAAGATATGTTTTGCAGGGTAGTTATAAGGAGTCCGGTAACCAAACCTGCAGCAAACAGCAATCAGGTTTTGTAGAATCAGGGAGAAATTTTGATGGAGATGTCAAGATGATCACAGCTCAAAAAAGCCCCCTTTTTAAAGTTTTTTTTTATTTTTTTTTTATCAATATCTAGAGATGCTGAAGTTTGTCTGAATGCCAGTCCAAATTACATTTGAGCTGCCTCTCAACAGGGAACTGGCAAGCTCTATTTGGCAGCAGTGAATGTTGCACACAAACACAAACCCGCACTTCTTTCCAGTTTTTCTAATACACACAAACGTGGGTTTTAGCACAACTGGAACCTAAAGGTAATACCGTGCAGTGGCTCTCTGTGGGTCTAATTAGTGCTGTTTGAATATTCTGTAAGGCCAGTCAGTTCTGGCACAAACTGAAGCTCCAAAGCACAACAAAACAACCACAACTAACTTGACAAAAGACAGACTTTGTTTCGTCTCTGTGGTTGTTTGTGCTGCCTCTGCTGGTGTTTTGGCTTTCTAGAATTACAGGTCTAAATGAGCAAAAAACATGGTGGCTTTGCACAAAGCCACATCACACAAATGAACAAGGTTTGGTTCTATGTTTAGGTTCTATAAGCAAGTATCATAATATAACAAACAAACATTGCAATCATCCGAAATTTTACTGCACACAATCTAAAAATACATAAGCTATGAAACAAGTTGCATCTTTCAAAGTTCACATTACATTCTCAGGGCGTAAATTATTCTGCACTTACAAACAGCAAATTAACTTGAGTTTCTAGGATCTATGAAGATTCCCATGGGAGAAACTTACTGATTTCCTTTTGTTTGCACCTTTTAAAGTTACATTTTTCAAGTCAATTTAATTTAAGAATCTTTATTTTTCCCTATAGACAATTTGTTTCACAGTCAGTAATTAAAAACGCAATGATACACAACAAAGAAAACATCCCAACATTAAAGTTACAGCTGTTCTTATAGAAGCCTGATTGCTGCAAGGATAAGTATTTTTTTCAGACTATTAGTCCTTTATCTCGGCAACAAATGGGGATGGAGAGTTGGGGTTGTCATCCTAGGTTGTGTAACAAATAAACAACAATAATCATAAACATAAACAATAATAATATTGGATTTTTTGCTTGTCACTTGGTGTTTTGAATATAGCTGCAGGCTCTTCATTTTGTTGGAGTCGCTGAGAGTTATTGATATGCGACGTATACTTCTGTTTCATTGAGCGAGTGAACGCTGGTGCATCATGACACTTGTGCTTCTTACTTGCTCTTTTTCTGGATTTTTTTTTTCTGGATTTTAGCTCTGGAGTTCCTCTAGGAGTTACAAGGATGGATAAGATTAGGAATGAGATCATCAGAGGTACAGCACAGGTTGAAAAACTGGGATATAAAGTTAGAGAGACCAGACAGAGATGTTTGGACATGTCGAAAGGATTGACAGTGGGTATGTTGGTAGAAGGATGTTAGAAATGCAGCTCCCAGGAAAAAGACAAAGAGGAAGGCCGAAGAGGAGATATATGGATATTGTTAGAAAGGATTGGAATGTACTTATATTGCACTTTCTATCTTATCAAGATACTCAAAGCAGTTTACAACGCAATCTGTGCCCTCATTTACCCATTCATACAGCACTCTACTAGATCTCTACAAAGACTAATCAATGCTTTATCACATTCATACACCGATGGATCACACATCGGAGGCAATGAGGGGTTCATTGTCTTGCCCAGGGACACTTCAGCTGGCGGAATTGAACCCCCAACTTTCATATTGGTGGACAACTGCTCTAACCACTCAGTCACAGCTGCCCGAGGACATGAAGGTAGTTGGAGTGAGGATGGAGGATGCAGAGGACAGAGTGAGATGGAGGAGGATGACTCACTGTGGCGACCCCTGAAAAGAGAAAAGCCAAAAGAAGAAGAAGAAGAAGCTCTGGAGTCACTAATAAAATTATCTGCTTTCTTCTTCATCTTATGGATTATAAGGATTTACTTGTTGCATGGTCTGGCGTGGACTCTCCAGCTGTTTATCCACCCTCTGGTATCCTGACTCCTCCGTTACTTAGCAGCCAAACTCTTTTACCTATTTTTCCTTCTGAATGTGCCTCCTCCGGCTCTACTTCTTCATCAGGACATCACCATCCTACCTCGTCAAATATATATCATTGTGGCTCCCGCCTTAGCTTCAATTATGACAAGTCCAATTCCATAAACTCCATCTGGTCTTTATCTCACCATCCTTCACGTGGAAAAGTTTTGGGTTGCTAACAACAGCATGCTTGCTAGCTTAGACAGGTCAGCTCCAGTTTCTACCAGCTACACTACAGTAAACAGACCTTTTGAACGTCCACTTTCTCATGAGCAAGGGTCACCTTATCCAGGATCTCATTTCAGACCACAAGTTAGATTTTCTTTGTTTAACAGAAACGTGGCATCAACAGAATGACTTCTTTCATCTCAATAATCCACCCTACCAGGGTTTGTTTACATCTCCAAGTCCTGTGACTCCTAACATGGAGAAGGTCTCGCAATAATTCACCGTGATAATTTGAAAGTCTCACTTGTAGACACACTATTTCCCTTCCTTCAAGCAGTCTGTGTGTCTCATCTTTGGTCCCACCCCTAACGTTGTTGCAACTATCTACCGCTCGCCCTACCAAACAACTCTTTTAAGAATGACTTTGCTGCTCTCACTGTTCATCTCTCAACTCTTTCACCCAATGCTGTTTTTTTTCTGCTTGTTGACGTCAACATCCGCATGTATGATGACTTCCACCCTCTCACCAGAGACTTTTCATCTTCTCTTGAGAGCTGTGGTTTCCAGCAGTTCATTGACTTTCCAACTCACATTAAAGGACACACTTTGGACTTACTATGCTCCTCCAGACATGCCTCTTTGTTCTTCTGATGAACTTCCTTTTACTGATCATCTGTTGCTTTCTTTCAGTGTTAGTCTTTAATTATACGCTTCTTAACCTCATGCACCATTTCCTTTCAGAATATTAAGATTGATTTTATCTCATATTGATGATGATATCTCCTCTTATCGCATGTCTGACTCAGATGACCAAGTCTCCTTTTATAATGCCAGTCTCGCCAACATCCTTAACTCTCTAGCTCCTCTGAAAATCCGGTCTTTCTCTTTCTCAAGCTCTTCACCATGGTTCACTTTTGAACTTCGCTCCATGAAAACTAAAAGTTTTAGATTGGAATGACTATAAAAATCTGATCACACAGTTCACAAGGAACTTCATTAAAAAAACATCTTCCAGTACAAGGACAGCACTGATCAAGCCAAATCCAGCTACTTCTCCTATATAATCTGTTACAACAATGGCAGTTCACAAACTATGTTACCTCTTCTTAACTATACACATTTTCCAAACTCTATACCCCTCACATGCTCTCTATAGCCTTTTGTAATTCGCTGATGTAATTTTTCAATGACAATGTTCTTTCCGTTCACAAACACATAAACTCTGCCTCTAGCATCTTTGTTGAACTTGTACCTCCCACCCTCCCCTTCTTGGTCTTCTCCCTCCCATCTGCTGCTGATATCTCGAACATCATTCACCAGTCTAAGCCCTCCACCTGCCAGCTTGATCCCTTTCCTTGAGTCCTTGTTAAATGCTTTCTCTCCTCTCTGCTCCCAATCATCACTGACATTATCCACTCCTCTCTGTCTGCTGGTATTGCCCCCACAGCTTTCAAATTGGCTGCCATTACTCCCATCATCAAAAAAACAGGTCTCGACCCCTCTAATTTTAGTAAGTAGTACTTTAATTAGAGCTAAAATTGGTGAGATAGTAGCTGAGTGTCATCCACAACACACACGCTGACCACAAACACATCACCCAAGATTTCACAACATAGCTTGAGATCTAAATATATTTGTTCCTTCTCATCATAGGATGATTTAGCTTAAAATGCTGGCAGGCGATATGGATTCCTTCAGGAAATGCTAGCCCTTTGTTTGTTTTTTCCTGTTTTTTGTCAGATCGAGGAAAGACGACGAAGCAGCAACTCCACGTCTTGCGTCTTCATGGTCAACAAGCCATATGCCCTCACCTGCTCTGTGGTGGCCTTTTACATCCCCCTGGTCCTCATGGTGCTGGCTTACCAGAGGATCTACATCACAGCTCGAGCGCACGCCCTACAGATCAGCATGTTGCAGCGGGCTGGTGGGGCTGGAGCTAGCACTCCTGGTACTTCAGGTGCCAGTACAGGAGTGGGTGCTGGTGCAACGTCAGACTCCGCTGACCACCAACGCAATCACCGCATGCGAACAGAAACAAAAGCAGCAAAGACGCTATGCATCATTATGGGATGTTTCTGCCTTTGTTGGGCACCATTCTTTGTCACCAATGTGGTGGACCCATTTATAGATTATTCAGTGCCCGAACAGCTGTGGACTGCCTGCCTGTGGCTGGGCTACATAAACTCCATGCTGAACCCCATTCTCTACGCCTTCCTCAACAAATCCTTCCGTCGTGCCTTCCTCATCATCCTATGTTGTGGGAGGAAGAGGTACCGCAGGCCATCCATCATGGCACCAAGCACTACCTGTACAGCCACTCAGATCAACGGTTCAACACACGTACTAAAGTAAGTTCTTTATTTTTTTCTTACTCCAAAGCAGTGACACTTTGTCTCCAACTGCTGAAACTGAAGAGAATGTTTCACTCAGGGGATCTGCAGAATATGCAACTTAAAATATGTTCTGCTTGGTGGTACTTTCTGTTATTATATCGAAAAAGCCATATGATGTTGTTAAAATGCACAGTCAGAATTACTGTTTGACCTACATCTTATATTTTAATAGCCAAAAAAAGTATAAAATATAATATTGCATGACATGTATTGCAGCAAAATCTGTTTTTCAACAATAAATTAAAATGAGCAGAGTAGATGACACAATTAGCTCATTAAGTATAAACTCATTATACCATACCATAAAGTATATGTTTGTTTGCAATTTATTTTTTTTTTTTTACATTGACTAGAGTACATTTTCTGGTATTTTCCTCCTAACAAACCACTGTCTGTTCAGACCCCCTAAAGGTTTTAGAGTACACATTGTACATCAGCAAAGTCATCCTTGAACGTAGTTAATTTTCTTCAGTATGTTTTCAGTTTGTTATATTGATTCCCACAAAATGCACAAACAATTTGTCTGATGTTTGATCTTAGAACATATATGACAATGGGCATCACATTGTAAATGTACATGTTGTAGTACAGTGGCAATGAGGAAGAGTCCATTGTGTGAGAAAAAATATTTTCTCAGGTGCAAAGTACAGATGACCTTATTTCTATAATTACCCTCAAAGCCTCAATGCATTTAAATGTGCCAGGAATCATGGGCGGCTGTGGCTGAGTGGTTAGAGCAGTCATCCTCCAATGCAAGAGTTGGGGGTTCGAATCCACCAGCAGTCACATGCTGAAGTGTCTCAGGGCAAGACACTGAACCCCTCAATGTCTCCGATGTGTGTCCCATCGGTGTATGAATGTGATCCGAAGCTCTAATTAGTCTCTTTAGAATGATTTGTTCAATTAGCTTTGTAGAGATCTAGCAGAGCGCTGTATGAATGGGTAAATGAGGGCAGAGATTGTCGTGTAAAGCGCTTTGAGTATCTCGATAAGATAGAAAGGGGCTATAAAAGTACAGTCCATTTACCATTAATTTCCAAAGCTATTATAGAGTCATGTTCCAAAAATATAGACATGTGGGTATACTTCATTGTTGCTGGTTAAATGCGTCACCCATCCATTCATCCATTATCTTTACCCACTTCTTCCTTTTCGAGTTGTGGGGGTCACTGGTGCCCATCTCCATGCAGTTTCTGTGCGAGAGGTGGGGGACACCTTTGGACAGGTCTCCAGTCCATCACAGATACAGATACATAGAGACAAACGAGAAAAAAACAACCAATCGCTCTCTCACTCGTACATAAAGACAGTTTAGTTACCAATCAGCGTAAGATGCATGTTTCCGGTCTGTGGAAACTGGAGTACATGGAGAAAACCCACACATGCACAGGGAGAACATGCAAACTCCACACAGAAAAATCCCTGGCCGGAATTTAACCCGGCAACCTTCTTGCAGAGAGGAAACAGCTCTACCAACTGCACCACCGTGCCACCCTCTCATTGTGTTTTCGTAGGACAACCTTATCTTTGATCAGTAAAAACCGTGTTGCACTGCAGCCTTTTTATGGTCATCTCATTTTAATCCTCCTGAACGTGTTTATCAGGCCATGCTTATGAGAGTCTATAAAAACAAAATATGCATCTAAAAAATGTATACTCCTAATTACCTTTAACCCCACCGCAGATTTGACTCTTTAAAATGTATTTGAAAACTCAGGGGGTTTTTTTCTTGGTACTTTACACGGCTCCAACGATGTGTCTGCTGCTCAACAAAATTGTTTAAGTTAAATTGTATCTTGAAAAGCTTATACAAATATCGAATCAAAATAAGCTAATACATTGATCTTGTTGGGCTCAATGTTTTATTTTCTTATTTTTTCTCAGTGAAGATGCAAGACGGTTATTTTCAACTGGACCTTCTAATAAAAGGAAATAGGCAGGGTTGCAGTTAGGATGGAGAGTTAAGCTTGAATCATCCTCTTCCTGCTCTGTGACACCTCACATCCATTAAAAATGGGAACTGATCAATGGAAACAACTTAGCTTACTGAACTGAGAACCATATGAGCTGCAATTTAGTTATGAAAACAACAGATGGGCTGTTACTGTAAGTAATACTGTAAGTTAGTGCTGACCGTTAGAAATATTATTGAGGTGAAAGTCATTGAAAACAATCAATAGATGTGTTTATAATGACACAGAAGTTCCAGTCAATTAATGTCCATTTTACTAAAGTTATGTTTTCATTTTCATTTCCTTCTGCCATTTGTGAACCACCCTCAGAGATGGATTTTCTTTTTTTAACAATAAACAGTTATAAAAAGTCATACAATTTATTATTTTATTTTTTTAACAAATAGGATGGCTAAAAAAAGAAAAGTAAAAAGAAATAAAAAGTAACAAAAAAACAGCTAGATTCTAAGGCGAATGTAGAAAACTAAAAACAGGAACATGTCTGCATTGGTCCCTGCCAGGAGTCCAACAGATTCTTAAAGTCACTTAAAGAGGTCAAGGTCGAGAGCTTCAGATCTTTTTGTAAGATATTCCAAGAAACAGGAGAAGGCCCTTTTGCCTAGTTCAGTTCGCACTGAGGGAACACTGCAGGTAATAATGTCCTTAGAGCGCACGCTGTAGCTGCACTCATGCAGAGACATGTAGGAAGAGATGTATGAAGGCAACAGACCAAGAAGTGAAAATGTACCAGTGAGAGAGTGCGCGAAGTTAATGATGTCCAGTTAACCAGTGAATACTGGGTGCAGTGGTGGGTACGATAATCACAGCCACTTATGAATCTTAGTGCACCATGATAGACAGCATCCAACATCTGCAGGGTGCTTGTAGGAGCGTTCATGTAAATAATGTCACCGTAATCAATGGAAGGAAAGTCACAGATACAAGGCGTTTTCTAGCATTCAGGGTTAGACAGGATCTGTTTCTTAAAAAGAAACCCAGTTTAACTTTCAGTTTCTTCACCAAGTTTTCCACATGGAGCTTGAGAGAGATGCGAGTCGACCAAGATACCCAAATATTTATAGGAATCAACAAACTCAATGGGGACACCATTTGAGGATGAGATCAGAGGAAGAACTGCTGGGACTGACTTCCTATTTGAAAAAAGCATCCCTTCGGTTTTGTCGGCATTTAGGACAAGTTTGAGGTGGAACAAATCAGTCTGGATGATGTTGAATGCAGATTTCAAAAGCTGGAAAGCCTTAACTGTTTTAGCTCGACAATAAACAACTGTGTCATCAGCATAGAAATGTATGAATGCATTAGGGATGTTTTCACCTACATTATGTATGTAGATTGTAAAGAGGGAGGGTCAGTGATTTGCTCGTCTAGAGGAAGAATTCATTTAAAACATGATGCTTTGTATATAACAGGAGGAATAAAAGAAGCCTTTTTCCTGCAAATCGTCTCATCGTACAGCTCTGTGCTAAGGATGCAAACGTCCAAAGTCAACTCTGGCATCCAGAGGTTTGCAGCTGTGGGCTGACAACCAAACATTAAAGTTCTGGTCTCTTGTGACAGCTTGAACCTGAACAAGTGGCTGTTTCAACATTCAACAAGATTGTGTTTGTCCTGATTTATAGCCCACAGTGGCATCCTGAGGTTTTGGCACCACTTGATTTATTTATTTATTTTTTTGTATCTCTGACATCAAAAACACATTAAAACAAGAACTGATTTTAACATTAAAAAGCAACGGAGTGTTTGGTACTTTGCTATCCCTGCCTGGTCAGTCCTCAATGCTCAACTATCCTTAACAGCCCCGTTTAGTGATTATCGCCGCTTGTCACCACTTCCTGTAGTTAAAAGAGCATTTACGTTTTTTTGTTCTTTTTCAAGGGCCTGTAGTGGAGTGAGAGGTTTGATATATTTTGCTTCAACATCAACCAGCTGATTTTTAAGAAATGTTGCTTTTTTGTGTCTTGAGGAATTGGATTGTAGATTTTAAAATATATCGTACCATTATTCTGATAAAAAAAATGTTCTGTCTATTAATAAATTAACAATATGTTTGTTTTATACAAGCAGAAATACTTTGCATTTATAAAGTTGGTGTATATGTGTTTAAGTTTTTAATCAAGTCTTTATACATTATTATGCTGTAGAATGTGAGATCTTAAGAGAGCCCAGCAAGAAAATTCACATCTTTATACAAATAAGTTAGTTAGGCTAAGTTAACTGAACAGAATTAAACCTGCAGCATTATAATCCAGAACAGGAAAATCCTCCTTTGTTCAAGGAAGATAAGACAAAGATAAAAGCAGAGGATGAACCATACATAAAAACTATTTACACAAACCTAAAATATTAATAAATACATAAATCCTGGCAAAATCAGAACTCAAAAGTGAGTGGATGGAAGAAAATGAAGCCGTACAAATAATACAAAAATACAAAACATGTCACCCGAAGCGCAGAAACATAAAATTCAATACAAACTTAACCAAACACAATTCATGACGTCAAACTAGCTGAAGGTCGGAGAAGATGTCACTTTTCAGGACACGTTAAAGTAAAGAAGTCAAGAAAGTACGCTTCTTGATGTGTGCTGGAATACAGAAATACAGGAGGGGGGTCCTGTCAGGGGCGGTTATGAAATCAAAACAATTCCTCGTCACAGTCAGACCTCCTTTCCACAGGGGCATTTTAGATTGGACCTTCCTTTATGTGAGCCGTAAGCCACGCTCCGTTCCTGCAAGCATGATGGACTTGCAGCTTTTAAAATGCCAGGAGTGTGTCAGGGTGGCCAAAATTGATTTTTAGGTTCATCAAGAGTGAGGCACAAGGTGACATTAATTCATGTCTGACTCACAACGTGATGATTCATCTTCTCTGCTGTGTTCTGTTATCAGTCAGAGGAAGTCATGGCTTTAAAAAAAAATAAATAAAACTCATTCATCTTCTGGAAGTCTCGGAAACACACTGACCCACTGAGATGCTCATCAA